CACACTGAGCTGAGAGCTCCCTGAGCTGCAGGAATAAGCTGGGACTTAGAGAGGGGCTTTCCCAAGGCTCAGGGCTGGGGCTGGGCCAAGGAAGGAAGGCCAGGGTGCCAGGCTCCTGGGCAAGTTGGGAGCTTCGCCATCCCTCAGTCCCCCTCCATGGCCATAGGGGCCTCTGAAAAGGGACTAACCCCACAGCTAGATCCCACCTTGGGCCAGGCCCTGAGGAGGAAGCAGAGCCCAGGACCAAAGCAGACTGGCAGAGCAAGGCTGAGGGGGTTGGGGGGAAGGAATGAAAGGGAAGGAAGGGAGGAAGGAAGGAAACCGGCTCCATCCCAAGAGAGACCAAGTCCACTCAGAGCTGGGCTTCCAGGGGAAGAAGCAGAGCCATACCCAGGTGCACCAGGAGGTGGAAGGGCCTGGGGGAAAGGGCTCCACTGCCCAGAAAAACCAGCATAACCAGCTTCATGGTACAGTCACTCCTCCCTGCACCCCAAGGCTTAGTGACCACAGAGCTGCAGAGTTGCCTCTGCCTTAGCTGTTGAGCCACACACCGCTCTTGCTGGTTCTCCAGCCAGCCGAGGTGGCTACGTGTGCTCAGACATGAGCCTCAGGCCCAGCTCTGTCTGCCACACATAGGTGCTGCTCAGAGACCTCGGACAGGCTATTTTTACTCTGAGGTGAGAAGCTGCTGCCTGATGAGCTGCACCCGCCTGTGCACTGTGAATGCAGCAAGGGGCGGGAGAACATGCAGGATGGCCAGGCCAGGGGGAACTGACAGCATCAAGCACAAATCCCGCAGAGCCTCACAGTGGAGAGGCTGGGGCTCCAGGAAGCAGCCCCCCAAGGTCATAGTTAGGGAGAGGATGAGCCCAGAGCCCCAGGCCTCCTTGCCCCCAGCTGAACACCTCCTCCTGGATAGCAGCCCTGCAGATGTGGCCTGCAGATGCAAAAATGCCCTCCTGCATAGATGGAGGCCAAAGACAACCACAAGTCCAGCTTCTCCTGGCTACAGAGCAAATGCCAGGCAGCAAGCAGTGCACAGGGCCAGGTGCAGGCATGGGGTGGAGGTTCAGGCCCACAGAGACACTGTGGGGGCAGCAGGGCGTCCCTGAGGTAGAGGAGCCAGGCCTTCCTTGGGCTTAGTGCATGGTGTGCAGTGGTTCTCAAAGTGCTGGCCATTCGGGGCACAGCCAGCATCTCACATGAGGGCTGCTCTTGGCAGCCGTGTGGCTCTGACCCCTACGCAGACGCTGGGGACCAGGCTGTCTGGCCACATCCCCTCTGGTGTTTACCTGCTCCCAAGTTAACATACTGTGGTCCAACACAGAAAGTGCCCGGCCCAGACTGCTGGCATTATTTTGTTTATCCCTTTGAACACTGTAATACAATGCTTATCTCTGAACTGTTCCAAGACTTTTCATTTTATCTATGCTCTGTGCAATAGGGTTATCTCGAGTTCTTTATATATGGAGAACAGTAAATAAACACACACGAAGTAAAAAAGAACAGTACTTGGGACCCGGGGACCCTCTTGGGCTCTGCAGACAGTGCTCCTCCTCTGCTCTTGCGAAGCCCAACCATCCACGGCAAAGAGACGACGGCAAACGGCCGCCTGAGCCTCACAGGTGACAGAAGAGGAAGGCGGTGGAGACACTGTGGCGCCCGTTCTTTCCTACGTTGGAAGTCAGAAAGGATTTCAGTCCACTACAACCTGAAATTGGGATTTTCCACATACCTCCATGCAGCCAGCAGTGCCATAATCGGTTTTAATTAAATAAACTGGAAACACAAATCTGGATGATACGTTGAATTGAGGTGGCACGCACTGCATATTGATGGCTCCTCTGACAGAGGATTCGTGACATATGCTACCAACTCCTACAGCCGCTTTATTAAATGGAATAAATAAAAGCTATGTAAAATGGCACAAACTTCACCAGAGAGGGGCGACTGGGATTCTCCTAACTCAATACTTCAGCTTGTTTTAGTGAAATGTTTTGCTGGAATCAAAACATGTTCCCCATCAGAGCAGACTTAGCTAATTGGGTGGAATGGAAGTTCTTCATGCTCAGGCCATACCCCTAGCCCAAAGCCTGCGTCCCCAGGACACCTACCCACAGGGCACCCCCCTGCAGACAAGCTCACAGAAAAAGCCTGCTGACCCAAGGGGAGACAGAGAAAAGGGGGGGGCAGTGACAGAAAGGAGAGGAAGTGTCAGAGACAGACAAATGTGCAGAGAGAACAGAAGGGCAAAGCGGGAAAGAAGGGAAGATAACAGGAAGCAAGAAGAAAACATGGATGTGGTCAGGGGGATCTGGGGCAGGACGGCATCACCTCCTAGCCCAGGCCTACCCTGAATCCCACCAGCAAGGGGATCTGTCCACCATTCCCCCACTCTTCCTCCAAGGCCAGTACTGCTCTGGCACAAGGGGCTTCTGTGGCTAATTGTCTGCATAATCAGACCCCAGGGGCCCGTGGGGGTGTCCTCCCTGCCTGCACCAGCCACCCGGCTCCCAAGACAACTGAGCAACAGAAGTGACTCCAGGGGGCCCACAGCGAGGGCACACTCTCTGCTGCACATCCCCCAAAGGGTGCTTGCATCTCAAGGCGAGTGACTGATAGTTTGTCTGGGAGGCTCTAAGAACCCTTCAACGAGTGAGTTCTATAAAGTTACATAACTTTTTATTGTGTGTCAACCAATGATGCTCAAATAATAAACTCCTGACAGGCAGTGAAGCAGGTTTAAGCACTTTAAGCGCTCCAAGTGTGGGCAGCTTGCGGAGTTTCTGATATATAAAATGTTACTGTTTAATAAAAGAGATGGAGGCCGGGCGCAGTGGCACATGCCTGTAATTCCAGCACTTTGGGAGGTTGAGACAGGAGGATCACTTGAGCATAGGAGTTTAAGACCAGCCTGTACAATACAGTAAGACCCCATCTCTACAAAAAATTTAAAAATTAGCTGGGTGTGGTGGCACACACCTGTAGTCCCAGCTACTTGGGAGGCTGAGGAGGGAGGATGGTTGAGCCCAGGAGTTTCAGGTTGCAGTGAGCTAGGATGACAGCACTGTTCTCCAGCTGAAGCGACAGAGAGACACCTTGTCTTAAAAAAACAAAAAACAAAAAACATGGAAAGCCCACCCACCCACCAAAGCCTCCAGGGCAGCAGTCCTACTGCCTTGCAGCTGAGTCTGGCGTCCAGCCTCAGTGAACTGGAGAGTGGGGTCAAAGTTGAGGCCCCCTTCCAATGTGAGGAGCCTACTGGGCTCACAGGTGCCACGGGGCCTGCTCCAGCCCCCCCAGGTGCTCTGAGCCAGGCCCATGGGTGGAGAGCAAGGGAACAGGAAACAAGGCAAGGTTGAGATCGGGCAGGCCCTGGGGGGTGTCTCTGAGATGCAACCCCTACAGCTGAGGGCCGGCACCTCTGCCCTTGGAGGTTGAGAGGAGTAGAATACCACCCAGTAAAGAGTCAGATCTGCTCTTGGCTCCACCTTCCTCCTCCTCGGTTTCCCAAACTGCAAAACGGAGCAGCTGGTGAGGAGATGGATGAGACCACGCGGGCGCCTGCAAGCTAGAGGCGCTCAGCACACGACGTGCGATATTCATCACCAGGATGAACAGGATTAGCATAAAGGCACCAACCTGCTCAGGCCTCGGGGTAAAAAAGACCCAAGTGCCCAGTGACTGAGCTGCTGCCCAATGGGAAGCCTGGATGCAGAGGCCTATTACCCCAAAGAGGCTGGCTGGAAATAGGAAGAGGGTGTGGGTCACGGGATCCCAGGCTGGGACTGGCGTTGGTTCAACACCCAGGTGGATCTCACAGCTCCTCTGGGAGCCCACTCACTTTCCCCCCAGCCCAGGGTTTTCTGCTCACCACCCAGCAACACATTACCAGGAGCCCAGAGGCCTCAGTCCTACAAGGAGCCCAGGTCCATCCTCTGGTAGCCCTATCTGCAGGGTGCAGGGGTGGCTCCACCCCACACACAAGCAGGGAAAGCGTGGACTTTCCAGCTAGACTCCCACCACTGGTGTAGGTCCAGTCCTCAGCACAACCTGAGCTGAGCTTACCAGAAAGCCTTCTAGGTTCTCTCCTACTGGCCCAGGAAGAGCATGATCCTTACAATGGCTAAAAGGAGGCCCACAGGCCAGCCCCTGACCCAGGGCATTCTCACCAGGCACACGCTGGACGACTGCCAGACTTTGCAGAGAAGAGACCGAGGCCCTGTCACAGCAAGCGATAGCTGCAGACTCGGGACACGGTCTGAGTCTCTTGGCAAGCACCATGCTCCCTCCACTAGATACCCGCCTGTCCATGGGGCTGGCATCCTGGCTGGGTGGCTCTTCTGGATGAGGTCGGCACAGCCATCCTTCAACCCACCTCATTCGGAGCCGTGCCCCCCTCTCATCCTGCCCTCCCTGTTAACTGGTTAGCTCCTCAAGCTGAGGCCTCCTTCTTCGAGACTGGGGTCACCTCTGTGGGGAGGACCAAATACAGCAGAGCCCCCAGCAGAGGCTCCCCCAGGCAGGCTCAAGCCAGCCCCAGCACAGTGTCACTCTGGCTGTCCCATCCATAACCAGCAGCCCCGGGAGCGCAGAGCCCACTGCTGAATTGACAGCCATGCTGTTATAACATGTTTAGCTCTACCTGAAACAATAATGAATAGAGGTTTGTGGGATCTCTGACACCTGTAGTCCTCCTACTGTTTTTTATGTCAAGAGATCTCTGTGTCCGTGCGTGCCACATACACTGTGGTCTGTTATTTGCGACCTTAACAGTGTGGGCACACGTGGTGCCAAATGCTCTGGTATTCTGTGCAGTGGTGTGAATTCGAGTAGATCTTGTGCACAAAATAACCAGCCCATGGCCGGTGACCTTCCCTGCCACCTGTCAACCCAGAACTAGGAAGATGGAACCCAGCTCCCACCTGCTCTGCCCAAGTCCTGCCTGGGGAAGGACCCTTTGGTGACACAAGCCCTTCCCGTCCATGGCGCAGACTCACCTCCACCTCTGTGCTATGGGCGTGCACCTTCTGTACCATGTCCTCAGCCTCCCGCACGCGCCGGGTCAGCTGGGGCGAGTACTCAGCGGGAGTCAGCTCGCTGTCATAGGAGCCTAGGATGGCCCGCATGCCGTCTCGCTCCTGTGGACACAGACAGCAGTTGGTCAGGGGCCAGGGAGGGGAAACACAGACACGGGAGCAGAGTCAAGGGTTCAGAGTTCAAGGATTCAGGTCAACACTCAGAGCCCACCTGTAAGAAGACCACTGGCATGGACACAAGGCCCAGGTGCCTGATGCTCCCAAGCAGTGATGGCCAAGAGACCTGTTTTTGGCCTCCGTGTCCACTCGCTCTGACCATGCCAGCCTTGTGGTGCAGTGGGTTGGACACTCCACCATGTACCTGCTGTGCAGACACAGGCCGGGGTGGGGGCAGAGGCCTTTCCCGCTGTGGACACAGCACGTATAGGGCAGGGGCCCTTGGTAAGCAGAGCCTCTGCTCCCCATCGCAGCCTGCGTTCATGGGTCCTGTGACTTCTCTGAGTCCCAATCAAACTGAGCCCAGGAAAACAACAGTGGGGTCAGTCTGGGAGGTGGGTTTGAACATCCCCCTATGCAACTGCCCAGGGCTCTTGGGACGCTTGAGGCTACGAACATGTAACTGTGCCACCAGCCACATTCGTCACCTTTTCATCCTTTCCCGGGCAAAAGTCGGGGGTCATGTGAAGCAGTGCAGGTTTCCTGAGATGAAAGACTGATCACAGTGTCAGGACTAATTCTTAGGCCACAACAGAAATTACTGTTCAGCGTGTCCTATTAGAAATGCTGATTAAGGCTGACAGTGTGAACCAGCAAGTTGGGCCCTGGGAGAGATGGGTGGGCACTTCCTGAGTCAGGGATGGAACAGACTCCTTCCTAGGATGCTCAAGGGATAGGCTGCCCGGTCCTGGAGGAAGAGGACAGGTCTCTGGAGACCAAGGATGCCCTTGGGCTCAGGAACTGCACTGCTCTGACGGCCCCACAAAGGGGTTTCCAGATGTGGATAGAGGAGACCTCATCCCCAGCAGATTACAAGCCTAGGCTGGGGACCTCCGACCTGCTGTCATCTTCTGAGGTTCACAGTGGGCTGCATAAGCAGATGAGGTCCAGTCCTCCTTCAGAAGCCCAGGTTTGCTAGAGAACAGCTTCTCAGATCTCCAGGAGACACAAGCGCCCAGGGTCTTGTACCAAGTAGGCTCAGATTCGGCTGGTCTGCGGCGGACCTGAGAGTCTGCAGATGTGCTCAGTAGCCTCTGCCTGGGGTTGTGCTCTACTACTGGGGGACTAGGGTAAGTATGACGAGGCAACAGAGCCCAGGAAGAAGAGGGTGGGTTTCTGCAAGACCCAGGTTCAAAGTCCAGTGCTGCCCCAAAGACTGACCCCCAAGTCTCAGTGCTGAGGCTAATAAGAGGGGTAGTGGACAGCTGTGAAGTTAACTCTGCCAAAGGCAAAGCGCCAGCACAATGTCCTGTAAACAATCAGTGCTCACACAATGATAGCTAGAATCTTATTAATGTTGGCAAATGATGGCCAGTGACAGTTCTCCATGTGTCCACTGGCACACACATTTTGGGGAAGGAGCCAGAAAAAAGACCAGTTCAGCCCTGGCAGTATTGTCCCCAGCCAGTGTGCCCCCTTGCAAAGAGCTGTGGGTAAGCTGAAGGGACCACCCTCACTGCGCTGGCTGAAAAAGCAAATTCCTGGCCCTGATAGAGACCTGTTCACTCAGAACGCCAGGTCCCCTTCCACATGGCACTCTCAGTTTTCACTTCCACGAGCTGAGGCCCCCGGGAGAGACCAACCCAACAGTCCTGTCCCCCAGCACTGATGCCATCCACGCACCCCTACCAGGCCCTCCTTTGCAGGTGAGAATAGGCTTAGGAAGAATGCCGCCTCCCCTCCCATGAGCCCAGGGAGCCCCAGGGCTGCTGTCGCCACAGTCATTCTGTTTTCTCCCGAGCTGGGGCGCAGTCATCACCCGGTATGGACATCGTAATTAGTTGATGACAAAAAATTCAATAAGTGAGAAATTAAAGTTACAAATCCAACTGGAAATGATCACATATCTGTGGAAAATTTGTTTCCACAGGAAGGTTTATCGAGTGTCATAATTTTATTGAAATCCTATATCTTCCCATTGACTTTTATCGTCCTGAGCTGGTTACCAGACTTATCATTACCCGAGCATCGATGCCACGCAAGGCAGGACGGGGGACTTCCTTTCATAAACAAGCTGTAATCGTCTCCTTTATTGACCAATAAATCTCCACCGTCCTCTCCTAGTACACCAGGCGAGCAACGGCTGGCCACGGAGAAAAGTAGAAAAAGTTTGTTGTTTGCAGCTTCTCAAGAAATTGTTTTGTCATTAGTAAGTAGAAGAGCAAGAAGTATGGTTTGATTTGATAATGACTTTTTAATGACTGATTCCACTTGTGGTAAACTTTGCTTCATTTCCACTTGAGCGGATGCGGCGATAAATCGTTGAACAAACAGGCACCCAGGCTGTGCTCACGGAGGCCTTCAAGAATGCTCGAGCACAAAACAAAGTCATATTTCCCACTGAGTGCTTCTGACTGGGTGCAGAGAAGTCCTGTCTGTAAGCAATGAAATGTGATTGTCATGTAATTGATAGCAATTCAGACAATGGAGGACTTGAGGGGTCTCAGCACCTCCGAGTGAAGCCAGGCCACGGTGGTTGGAGGGCCCAGCCCAGCCGAGCCTGCGGCAAACAGGCCCGACAGAGCTATTCACCCAGAGAGGCGGCAGGAAGAGCCAGGGCTAGTTAGCCACCAACCATAAAGCTAGTTCCTGTCCCACCCTCACCAAAGCCAGCCTCAGTGTTACCATCTGAAAGATGAGAGGGTCTGCCCTAACAGTCCTGCCAGCCCTGGCAGTGGAAGCATGTGGGGGTAATGCGCAGGGTCACAACATGACAGCCATGTGCACAAGGACAATGCAAGCTTCAACTCCAAACCTCAAATCAAGGGTAATATTTAGCAACCGTACTCCAGGAAGGCCCCGAGGAGATGGACCACACAGTGTGCAAGAAAGGGCTCTGTAGACAGCTAAGCTGGCTCAGGGATGATGCATCTGCTTAGGGCAGCTGTGCCCCTATGGCAGGGCTTCCTGGCTGGGGCCAGGCAGGAGCCTTGCTGAGAGGGTCTGCATGCATCCTGCAGACCAGTGCACTATGGGCCCATCATTCCCAGTCCCCAGGCCATCATCCTACAGACCAGAGTTCAACCTGATGAAGTCAGGAAGGGTGGAGGTCCGCTCACTAGAGCGAGAAGCCAAGAGTTCAACCCCAAGCACTCAGGTTTGGCTGATAAGGATGCCAGGACAGACAAAGAGCCAGAGCCTCCATCCCGTCCCAAAGACTCATGGGACTCCACAATCCAACGGCTCTAAGTGAATATGTAAAGCTATAGGTAGGGAATGGATGCTGTGGAACTACCAGGAAGGTGAGAAAGTCCCAAGCAGGTGACAGAGCTGAGGCAGAACACAGCTGCTCTGCTGAGAGCATGAGCACACCATGCTCACGTGTGCATGTCATCCGTCTTCACCTGGCCAAGTCCTGAGCGCTCCTGCTCACCCATAGACAGCAGGCACAGACAGGCAGCACTGCTGATGTGGAGCCCTCTGGCAGCCCTGGAGACCTGCCTCATCTGTCTGCCTTTTGTTCATTCTTGCTACTTCCCTACACCTGGGTGTGAGCCTGGCCAGGGCCCGTACCAGGCTCTGGGGAGATGACCCAAGGACCAGCCTGCAGCCCCAGGTGCTAGAGAGATGCCGAGTGGCACAGGCAACCACAGCCTGGCAGACTCAGAGCAGCAGAGGCCGGGCCAGCATGGGGGAAGGTGCAGAGGCTGGGCTGGCATCCTGGGTGGGCAGGCTCGGAAAGGCCCTCCACCTGAGGGCACAGTGTCAGCAGGCACCCTGAGGCCCCAACAGGACAGCAGTGAAGATAATGATGTTCATGCCCTAATCAGCCTGTCTTCAGCTGAGCTACCAAGTATAAACCCCAAATAGGCTGAAGAATTGCACAGGGATGGAAAAAGACCCCACGCAAGGCTGGGGCCGCCTGTGGTAGAGGGGGCTGGAACAGCTGGGCCCCAGCCCTGTGAGGAAGAGCCTGCCCTCCTACAGGGCACCCAGAGTATAAGCCTTAGGCCCTGGCCAGGGAAGGGGCAGAGCAGGGAGGCAGTGAGGGAAGAACCAGAGCCCCAGGCTGGGCAGGCAATGGCCACAGAGAGTACCTGCCAGGCACTCAGAGGCTAGATGCATCAGAGGAGCCATGTCAGCAGGGAATGTGGATGGAGGGAATAGTCCTGAAGCCCCCTCAAGCAGCACCCCAGCCAGACGCCAGGTCACAGAGACCTATGGGGCCCAAATTCTGGCCAACACGAATGAGTTGTGTGGCTGCCCCCCCCCAGCCTCCCTAAGCGGAAAGGGCAAACAGACAGGGTCACCATGAAGCTCACACACACAGCACAGCACAGAAAGCGAGGACACAGAGCCCAGCATGCACTAGTGCTTAATCACTGTCATCTACCACCATGAGTGACACTGTCTTCACCACTGTCCCCACTGCTGTTTCTTCTTCTACAACGGCACCTGCTCAGGGAAGAAGACCAGAACACAGGCAGGACAGGGAGAGGCCACGTGGTGCCACAGAGGCAGGAAACCTCCCACCAAGGCCCCACCCAGAGCAGCAGGCACCTGGCAGGTACCCAGGAGCCCACCTGACGTCCACAGAGCCTTCCCTCCCCTGGGAGGCAGAGGCCGTCATTCATCTCGGGCCTCCACCGTCAGAGCCACAGGGCTTGATTCACTCTCCTTCCACCCACTCAAGCCCGAGGCCCATTCTGAAAGGGCTCCACGGGGCCCCAGCACGCGGGGAACATTCTCTGTGGGCATCTCTTTCCAGATCCTCCGCCCCCACAGCCTCTCACCGCAGCTCAGCTACTTCCACTCAACTCTTAGTCACTCCACAACTTTTTTTTAAGAAAGGAAATTTATGATCTTAAGCAGCAGCAAAGCCTTGTTCTAATTCTCTCTCCCACCACATGGAATCACCAAAAGAAAATTAAAGAATTCGAGCGGAA